GAATGCCCTACCATCACCTTGTTTGTTTTTACTTATTTGAGGCTAGATTTTTTTATTGGAATGGAATAATAAGAAAATTATTAAGAAATAAAAATATAATATTTGGATAAATTATATTAAATTTTACAGCTAACAAATCTCTAAGAAATTTTAATAGAGACACAATTAGAGACATAAAAGGCATAGATTCTACAGGGCCTAGAGTAGCAAAACATTAGAAAAACATGAAGACTATTTTAAAATATATGAACAGCAGAAACAACCTAAAAGAGAGATTTCTCTGTAAGTGTACCAGTTTAACAAATATGTCTTGGAACCATGACTATTTTGAACTATGCCTATCTCCAATATCTTGCATTGTTATATGCACATGCATAATAATACATGTTTTTAAATGAATTAATGATTTATTCTCAAGAAGGCAATGATTTTAAAGGAACAGTAAATCAATCATAGAAGAAACACAAATATGTACTCAACAAGACAGTCCTAACATTTGAAGAAAAGCAATGAATGTAAGAGAAAGAATGAATGAAGATTGTGCTGTAAGTTGAACAATTGGGTTTCACAGGTAAAAATCAATGATAATATGAAAAATATAAGTTCATGAATAAGGCTTTTCTTGGTAGGAAGCAATAGAAACCAACTCTGGGTAAGAAAAAAAAATTAAGTGTCAGTATTTTGGGGCTCATGGCATCAGCAGAGCTGAAGTTAAGGTTAGGCATGGGCAGAGACCAAGGCCATTTTAGGAACTAAGAAGCAGGCCTCAGAACAAGGATAATTCCAGTCAGGGTGCACTTATTCCAGGGAGGTGACAAGGTGGGGGTTGGTGGTGACCTGGATGAAAGCCATTTTGATGGAGAATAAATATTTCAATGGAAAAGAATGAAGAGACATGGGGGGGGGGAAACAACTCTTTTGATGAATTTACATGTGAAGGAGAGCCCAGAAAGACATGAGGTCAAGAGACGCTCATGTCTTCTCTTTATTGCTGCTACCTAGTGTGTTTCTGTGACAATGGGACTGAACCATTGGCTAGAACACTCTTCGCTACTAGAGTCCCTAGGCTGGTTCCTTCTCATCCTTCATTCATCATACATCCTTCATGTCTTAGTGCGATGTGACTTCCTGCTCCTAGTTGTATATCCTTGTTGTGTTGTTTTTACAGCACTCATCCCTGTCTAAAGTGATCTTCTACATTTGTTTGATTGCCTCTACTGGCTAAAGTGGAATTAAAAGAGCAGCAACTTTGTCTGGCTTACCGCTGTATCACTGGCATCTAGAAAAATGCCTGTCATGTAACAGAGCCTCAATAAATATTTGTGGGATAAATGAATAAGAAAACAGATAACTAGAACTTCAACTGTTTTGTTCATTCTTGCATCACTTGTTTGAGATCCAAAGTCCCAAGGTTCAGTTGCTGAATAGCCAAGTTGTGATGCTCAGCAGTCCTTTGTCTGGACAGGGCCTGTCCCTCCTTGGGTTATATGGTGGGGGCTGAGTACACACATTTACTGTCCCTTCAAAACCAAATATGAGGAGAGAGGCAATTCCCACAGGGAATCAGGGATTATGCTCAGAACTGTAAAGAGAGAAAAAGAATGTTTACCCCC